TTCATAATTTAATAATATTTAATAATATTTCATAAGCTTTAATATTTTTGGTGACATAATGAAAGTTGCCTGTTTATAAAAATGGAAATTGCCTGTTTATAAAATGGAACAAAAATCATGAAGTTGAACTAATTAGAGATGTAGTAGGGATGAAGTAAGTATTAAATATGTAGATGAGCATATTTGGCTCAGCAAATCTTTGGGTCCTCCTCCTCTAAACAGAGCAGGAGCCATATGCCAAGCTGTCAGTCGTCCTAAGAACGGAGAGGAGGCTGAAGAAACCCATGAAGAAATACAAATAAAGGGGCATAAGCATAAACTAGCCAGAAGTCAGAACTGATCTGTCAGTGATGCATTTACTTAGATTGGGGCTTCTCAGCTATCTTGGGGCCAGATGAGAACTAGAGAGCACTTCAAGTGACAGCTCGCACTGTAACCAAACGGTGACTGGGAAAGGGGATCCGTGTGTCCTGCTTGATTTGGGTGTTGCTGAAGAGGTTGGATGGAAGCCTGGCTTTCTCGACTGGTGAATATCATGAGGAAACTTGCTATCTTTTCTATAGCTTTTTCTTAGAATTGCAGCAGATTTATAAAAAATACATGATATTTGGGTATTAGTTGATGTAAAAAATATTTAAAGCTTTAGGGTCTTTATTTCCATACTTTATATTTACATTGGAGCTGCGTTTATAGAACATATTGTAGCACTTAATTAACATTGGAGTCTTCAATTGGAAAATAATGATTTTTGTTTCCAGATTTTATTGGTAGGATCTGTTTATTTTTGAATTTTAATTGGTAAAACCTGCTGTGCTTGTTTTTCTTATTTGAACAGAAATTCTGTTCTTGTTAAGAAAAAAATATTTTAAATGGATTTTCTTGTGTAAACCACTATAAAGTGATTAAAAGTGATAAGCTCTTCAAAAGGCAGTGTCTTACAGTATTTGAATAGCTTACATACTAATTGGTTTTTCAACTGTGTGCCTGGCTCACCTGTGACTTTTTGTTCATCAGCATGTTTTGCTACAAGGTAGTGTATCTTGTAATTTGCTCACTGTTTGTTTTTTGACTATTCCCTCATTATGTGTTTTGCTGTTTCTTTATGATGTTTTCAGTAACTGGACCTGCTTTTTGAGTTCTAACATAAACTTTTTATAAAACTTTATATGATACTTGGTTTGCTTTTATCTGTTTCTGGTATAAAAATTAAAAGTAATTTCTGTAAATTGATTTTGAGGTATTTATTACTATAAAATTGAAAAATGAGATCAGAGGTTATCTTATTGCATTTGTCCTTTATAATGACATTTGTACGTTTTTCTTTGAATGTTTTGATTTCTAGGTATCAATCTGTGGAACGGTAACTTGCTAGTATGAAGCTGAAAGGGAATTCATTAATAAATTTTTGTTTTATGTTTAAGATTTTTCTTAAAGCAAGCTGTGTAAATGGAAGAGTAATCTGAATGTGTCTCAGATATGCAGCATTAACTTCCAACTTGTTTTCAGTAGTGATTGGTTTGAAGCTTTATGTAGAACAGCTGGTAAGCCTGTATAGAGGATGTCATTAGTAATAAAGAGGAAAACTTGTATCTTTAACGAGATTTTGTCTTCTATACAGCTTGCCCAATTTAGGCAGCGGAAGGCACAAACTGATGGTCAGAATGGATCAAAGAAGCAGAAAAAGAAGAAGAAAACAGCAAACATCAAAGATGAAGAATCAATACAAGATGGGATTGATACTGATCAATCTCGAGGTGATGAAACATCCACGTGCAGCAGCCGAAGAGGAGCAGCTGCTACTGCTGACTTTGCTATTATCAGGACTTTGCATAGTGGAGAAATTATCAAACACAACCAGACTTACACCATTGAGGTAAGTTTGTCTCAGGCTGTAACCACTTACTTTGACGGGGTCAAAATAGTCCATTAATTTTGAGTGGGAACAAAGGAATTACATGAGATTTTGGATATTACTTCCTTGCCTCCTCTGTCTGTCCTTGATTTGTTCAGAGAAAGCACTTTCTACCTGCCTGCTGGCACCATGTTTTCTGTGGTAGTCAGTGTACTGTAGATTATGGAAAGTTTGTTGGTACTGCTGTATTCCCTAAATGGGCAAAAATTGGTTTTGTTTTATTGCTTCATTTTATGCATTTTGTTTTATTAAAAGTTTACAAATTGCAGTGGATTTTTGATCACTGCAGCTATGGCAACAGCAAAATGCAAAACTAAACGTCTTTCTTGTATCCATAGCGTAATTTGAATCTTTCTGGTTAATGAGGAGGAGGAATGAATTTCAAAAACACTAGTTGGAACTGAATGGCTTAAGAGACTGATAAACAGATACTCTACTTTTACTGCTTAATTAAATAGAATCCTGATTGCTGGTGGCTTGAAAGTACATGATCCAGGAAGGTTGTAATATGCCCCGTGTGATACACACTGGCGGTCCAGTTCAATTCTCAGTGGACATGAATTCACATAACGTAATATATTGTTCCAGATATGAGGGACAAGAGTTGCTGGTGTTATTTACAGAATAGCTTATTCCATTCATGAAAGCAGTGCCTCTAAAAGGATGAGTGGCATTCTGAACAAGCAGCTCAACACAGATTCCCAGCTCTGTGCATGTGAATGCCGTGTTTTCTGAGAGGTGTAGTACAGATGAATGGTCTGCATTTTGGCTTGTCAGTCCTGTGCAGGGATGGACCATTTGTAACTATTTTGGCTCCATTATCTCATTTCCAGCAGCTGAGAAGTAATAGAGAAATGACACTTTTCTAAAATTTCTTGCATTTGTGTTTTTAAAAAAAAAAAAAAAGGTTATCCTGGTAGAGGGGCAGACAGACTAAATCGTACATGCGAATAAAAACTTGTAAAGTAATTGATCCATTTGTTTTACAATTTTAAGCCTACAGTATATCAGTACACTAGATATTTTGAACTTTATAGATACATGTCTGTAATATGTAGCTTTTCATACTTGGAAGGCGCATTATTAGGGCTTCAGAACTGTTTGTAGTAACTCAGTAAAACTGCCTGTTCAATTCATAGCTTTTCCTGGAGGAGGTAATAAATTTTTTAAAGACTGTTTAGTACCAGAATGACTGTTTTCATAGGTGAAGATGAGACTTATTTGCCCTCTAGGAAAAGAGAAAGGTGTACTTCATGAAATTCAGTGGGTTATCTACAGCTAAATAGAGGGGACTGCTAGGGCAGAGAGCTGTTTAGAGGGAATCACTTAAACTGTTGTTTTAGCAATATTATAGTCTGCATAAATAGGATAACTGTATGAAGAAACTTTCTTAACCAAGTATATTTTAATGTACATCATGATTGCATGTTACAGATGGACTCTGCTGATGTACTTGCTCTCAGTCAGGATAAATACCTCTACTGCAAGTGGAAAAACAGGGTAAAGTACAGAACCATAGAATAATTTAGGTTGGAAGGGACCTCCAAGGTCATCTAGTCCAATCCTGTGCTCAAAGCAGGTCTAATTAGATCAGGTTGGTCCTAGTAGCCTGTGTTGGCCCCTGAATGCTAACAGTACAAGACAGATGATTTTAAAAATGGAAAAAATATCTACACTGCAGTTGGTAAAGATTGCACACATATTCTTAAGATTGGGTATGATTTTTCTGAGGTCTGCCTTATTCCCAAAGCAACTTATGTATAAATAAATAAATATAGAGATACATAGAGGTTTTTTTTGGTTTGCTGGGAGTTTTTTTTAATGTAGCTTTACAAGGGGAAGCATGGTGATTAGTGTTTATTTGTAATTTGACCGTCCTGAATTACTCATGTCTTAGTGAATTCTAAAACAGTATTCACTTCCACCAAAAAAAAAGCTGCTCCCAATTGGGAGAGCATTTTTCTTTGTTACATGTTGTTTGTGGCCTGCTTATTCATGTTAAATAAGTAATTGGTATTTTGGAGTTGGAAGATGATTGCTGAAGTCTCTATCTGTGCAGTATTAATAGAAGAGGAAAAATTCTGAAATAGTTTCAATCAATCTCATAACTTACTGTTTTAGTCTTATAAGTCCAATGATTTGGACAGAGAGCCTGTGTTATACAGTAATTGGATTAGAGCTTGTTTAGTTGAAATGGCAGCCAATGTAATAGGCAGTTTCAGGCTAATCTCTGCAATGGAGAATTACAGACAGCTTCTTTGAGCTGTTTGCTTTTTCACCCAGCATTAAACCTTTATAGGCTGCTGTGTCAGGAAAGTAAGGCAAGATTACTGGAGGCATTACGCAGGATCATTTTCTAGCTAAATTTTGATTCCATTTGCTTATTTCATCTTTTACTGGAATTCATATTTAGAATTGTTCTTTCTGTACCACAAAATAAAACATTTGACTATACTGCCTATCTATCTAAAAATCCTGACTGGGCTCTTTTGTGGTAGTTTTGTGGATAGAAGTTTATCTCCCTGCAGTTTTTCTAGTATGATTTTTTTAGTCCCAGTGGAATTAGCATGTCCAAATACAAATAACAAAGAGTTCTCTTACTCAGTATGAATAATAGAAAGTGAAATAGAGGTACTCCTTTGGGCGCTTATTCCCCATCTGAAGTTAGAGGAGCTCCTTTTCAGACAGGGCAGAATTCTGTTTAGAGAGTTCAAAGTTATTTTTTGCAGTCATCTCCTTCCCTTTTTTTTCTCTGTCTTCCTCCACCCCCCTGTAATCCCTCAAGTTACAGACACTAGCTGGAAGAACTCTGGAAGAACTATCATTGATTTGTACTCTCCTTATCCATTCCATTTTACCTTCTGTCTGAACTTATTTGTAATTTCTATAAGGTTTTCCATCCTCTGTCACAGGAAGTTTATTTACAAGATTTATTAGAGAAATGCCAGTTGGTATTTCTTGGTTAAAGTTTCTGGGTCTTAACTTGTTTCATGTTAAATGCTTTTTGTCTTGGTCTCACAAAGAGAATAATATGTTGAGTTTCTAGTTGCCTTTGGTTTTTGTCTTTATTCAGTTGCACCCCGATATCTTTTGGTCTTGACATCTGCAGTGTCCTTTTCCATATAGAAGTAAAAATAATCTAGAAAACACAGCCCAGGAAATAAATTGGATCAATGAAACTCTTGGTTTTAGGATTGCTTCTTTATGTGACTTTCTGCAAGTAAAAATGGAAGAAAGAAAAAAGCACTTTCAGGGTAAATAATTGCTGAGATCACATTCTCTGAGAAGTCTTGAAACAGTGCATTGGAGCAGACTGCTTTGCAATAATATACTAATGCCAGGAAAGCAAAAGAAATTAACCTGTGGCACTGTAAAATTGTCCTTGAGTCACCTGGATAGTAAAAGGTATTATACAAAGCTGCTTAGAAAAGAAAAGTTCAAAGTTCTGTGATGAAGAATACCTGCTAATTGACTAAGGTTGGATTAGTAACTCGTCTTTTGTTTTCCACAGGACAAATCTGTTTGGTAATAGTTTTAGAATATCTTAACTGTTTACTTAAGTAGGCGATAAAGTTTATAGCTCCACGTTCATTGTTTCATTTCTGTAACTTACTCCAGTTGTTAGTGCCTGAGACTTGACAGGCAAGGAACAGAAATAGAGTAAGGAGACACTGGGTAGGATTCTTGAGAAGAACTAAGGAAGAAAAGTGACAGAAATATGGAAACATAAGCAGTATGGAGAAACAGAGAGGACACCCCAGTGAGAAAAGGTGTAGGTGGTAAATGTGGGTAAGGCATTCCTATGATAGAAGCATGGAAACAAAGAGCAACCAAAGGCTTTGACTAGAGAAGAGATATTCTGGGATGTACAATAAGATGGATTTGAAAAAAAGGATGGATAAATAAAATGTAGTAAAAATTAGCCTAGTCACTTCAGATAATCTAGCATCCCTTGAAAAATGTTTTGAAATTGCAGAATGAAGATAAACAAATGTTTGGAAATGGTCTGTTCAATAGTAAAGTCAGTGCCATTAGAGAAAATAATAGATTCTCAGCAGCATATGGTTCTGACTGAAGCCACTCATCTTTCCATTCACCATCTGGCCAAAAGATTGCCGGGATATCTTGCCAATTTTCTTTGATGCATAAGACAACCTCTGGTATGATGCCTTCCTTTCTCTCTGCAAATACTGATATATAATAGATTTACTGACATGGAAATTACCTATATTGAAGAACGATCTTTGCAGATTTACAGAGTATTTAATTTTAGATTAAATATTTATAAGGCCATATTACCAAAGAATACAAACCTAATTAGGTTAGGTTACCTCTGTGTTGATGATGTCTTCTGATAGAGGAAATTTACACACTGAGGCGTGGGATACCTCGCTGCAGATTATATTCAGATTTGGCAGTGGTTTATCTCCACTGAGATGTACTCTATTTAAATCTGATTGTAGTCAATTGGTTTAGGTTATAAATTACCAGGGAATACATTCCTTTGAATTGAATAGTTTTTGCATTAGGAACAAAGAAAGGCACAATGAGGCAATATTTAAGAATAGCATTTCATATTCAGAATGTTTTATGAATATTAAAGACCCATAAAGTTCAGGATGACCTAAAGAGAGGGTTTCATGACTGGGATTTTTGGTTTACATTCTCTTTGCCTCCTTCCCTAGTCGCAGTCTTCTTACTTAGACTTAATCAGGTTGTGATCATCTATGGACCACTAGTGCCCCATGTGAAACTGGCCAAGCTAAAATAAACTTGTTTTCGCTGCTACTGCTGGCTAATACATGTTCAAGAATGAATCCAAAATTTTGTACTTACATTTTTGTAACAGTTTACACTGAGGTCATAAAAAGTCAGTAATTTACTTCAGGTAGAATTCTACTCCGTGAATACTCAGTCTTGGTTCTCACCCTTTAATACTCTCATCCATTGCAACTGGAGTAGTTTAGTACTGGATGTCCATTCTTGCAAAATGTTTTATTGTCACCTATGAAAGTTTTCTAAAGAAACATAAAAATCACTTCTCAGTTCTCGTGGCCAATTTCATATATAAGTTATTTTGTGAATCCTGTGATAATGTTGGGAGTCCAGCGCCAAAGAACGTGACTTCTGAGCAATGCTTAACTGCATACAGAAACAACTTACTCTGAAATGGACCTCCTGTGTTCCACAGGCTGATTACTCCCTTTTTTGTATCTTGCAGTATTTCCTCTGAAGAGTGTATACAGATGAAAGTGGGTTTAATTTTCTGAATACTTAAGTGTTATCATTAAAGGTACTACCTGCAGAGTTGATGGAGATAGTTGCCTGTAAAGAGTCTTTGAGATGTCTGTTCAGTTTATTTTAACTATCAACCACATTGTCAGTGAAGAAAATATTAAATAAAGAATTCAAACATCTTGCCAGAAGAGAATAGCTGTTTGTAGCAAGAAAATGCTGCAGGACATAGGTTGTAGAATATGTGCAAACTAACAGCCTGAAGTCAGAGCGTAACAGAAACCTATTTCACATTCCATAAAGTATTGAGAGAACCGATGAATAGCTTCATTGGCATTATCCTGTCAAAAGATGTGTTGCTAATAGTGTGTGTATATATGAATTTTTTGAAGTATTTTCTTTTAAACTGGACCCCTGTGGTTCAGTTAGATGAGCTGTGTAAAACCTAATTACTTCTGTTGACCAAAGAAGAATTGAAGCATACAGAATGGATACCTTAATAATGGAAGAACTGGATTTTGAACTAAGATTGGTCAGGTCTGAGGAACAGAACATAGCTGCTTGGAGGGCAAGATGAGTACCCATAAAATGTTGACTACTTGTAATGTTGTTGATTTTGACACCAAAAGAATAACATTAAGTCTTACAGCGTTGGAGTCTAATGTGTGAGGTCGTAGGATTTAACTTTTTTTAACTGATTTTTAGCATGGTTTGGATGAACCCCTTAGTACAGAAGACAGATCCATTTAACTTGAGTTCATTTGGCCAGCTTTCTGTACTTATCTTCAATAAATCCCTTGACAAAAATACTTGGTCTTAACAGCCAAAAAAATATCTAGATGCAAGACTAAAGGAGATATTTTAGAAAGATTATTTATGCTGCTAATGGATATTGCACACCTAAACTGATGGAGCATTATATAGTGTTCGGTATTTTTTTTTTTATTATTTCAGGTTTTTTAACTTTAGATTGGTATTCAGAAAGGACCAGTGATATATTAATTTTTTAAAAAATCTCATATCTGGCCAAATTACCATAAAAAATTGGAGAATTATTTTCAGTAATCACCTTTATTTGAGAATTCGTAGTTTCTCACTCTAGCCTAAGCTTCAGTCTAGAAGTTCTTTGCCTTTTACTATGATTATCTACTAGGTGTGAGCTTATCCCAGGATCTAAACATTCATTTATCATCTTTCTTATAAACAAAAGGCTGTTTATATAATTCAAAAGCATACAAGGAAAAACTCTATAAGAAGTCGGACTACTTGTCCTTGTTTTTTGCATATTGGAGAAGTGCCTGTATTTCATGCACTATATGAAGAACTTCAAGAGTCATTAGATCTAATTAAATATGTAAATTTATAGGAATATTTCTGAGCTTCTACAGGAATAATTCTAATCTTTCATTTGTCTCAATCTTTCTTTATGAAGTCTTCTGAATTGGAGCAAGCCATGAAAAATTGTAGGATGATATGGCCATATGTTTGTTATCTGTATTATGAAAATAAATAACAACGTGGGTTTCCCTGATTTTATTCCTTCCAGAGTACTATGTCCCAGACCAAGGACATAGACTGCAAACAATATGTAAAATTTGTGTGTGTCTGTGTGTATGCATATATAAATGCATATATATACACCAATATACATATAAATATATATAATACAATCAAAATATTTGTATAAAAAGTTAAATATTGTTAAGTACTAATTGTGTATTCCACAGCAGAAACACTTTTGTAACCCTATAGTTTTAAAACATGATTTTGTTTCAGTTTGTGGCTTATTTTTAAGGTGAACCTTTTTAATTTTTAAAATCATATACACTATATGAAATTTAGCTTCCGCATTCATATTTTAAGTTAGTTTTGTGCACTCTGTACATGAAATAATACCCTTTTTTTAGGCTAATTACATTGTGGCCATTCACATTGGACTCAAAATATGTCAAATCAATATGTTAGGATTCTAAAAACTGTAGAGCTCCAGTAGGTCTGAGTGGCAGATTTCATTTTAAAAAAATACAACACAAAACACAGTTGATAGTTCCAAATTTTACTGATGTCTACTGATGCAAAACTGACTATGTTCCTTTGAAAATAAGCCTGACAGAATTCAGTGTAAAATGGAGACTGATTTAATGTGAGGCTGGTTAATGTGTTAAGTGAATTTTGAAAAAGTCCTATTATTTACACTTCATTTTTGCTGAAGTAGTTTTAACTCAAAATTACACTTTTTGAGTTCAAAAGGATATGTACATACTCCCCAATAGTGCACCTTATGTAGATAATTTGAATATTTTGCATATTTTCCTACTAACATCTTGATTCTCAAACCTGATACATTGTATGTAGTTCATCAAGGTATTTAATTCAAGCATCTTCCATGGCATGCTTATGCTCAGTTTGTTAAGGCTTTGTTCCTTTAATTACTCTAATTCATTAGATCACAAGATTTGAGTCTTTGTCCTTGTTCTTCCTGATCGCTTTTACCTTTCCTTGGTTTCCATGGAAGCTGAAGGAGAATGTGAGTGTTTGTTTTAAAATTCTAGTCAACATCAAGAGACTTGTATGTATGAAAATTACATTCTATATATGGTTATGTTTTTAAGCCAGCAAAGTTCCTAATTAGGTAAAATTGATCTATCGGAGAAAAGTCCTTTTCTTGGTACTCCTTATTTCTTTAAAAAAAAATAAATTATAAGTTACATATCCAAAATATTATTTTGTACCTGTAGGTTATATTTTCATTAGAAGACTTTGTCATGTAGTTATGTTTCTGTGATCATAGTTGAAGAACAAAGCAACTTTTTCTTTTTTAAAGCTGGGATTTCAAGGAAGTGAAGGTGGCCTTCACTATATATATATTCTAATCAAATTAATGTGTACCTTAATATTTTCCAATACTGTCTACATGCTTAGAAACAGATGGAAAATGTCTTGTTTGATATTTTTAGAGTGCCATAATTGTAAATATTTTAATATTTTATTTTAGCCGGAAAGTGAAATTTCCACCACAGTAGAAGATTACAGTTCTGAGGTAAGACTGAAGTAACCTTTTCCTAACTTTTCTTTCATCTTCTTCTTTCACATGTTTACTGCAATGCTGTGCATTGTTTTGCAAAAAGAGAAGGAAAGAAAGAGCAGACGTGATATTATAGACAAAGCTGTTGCATGTCGTTACTGGTATGATTAATGTACCATTAAAGTGAGCATTATGTCAACTGCGTAATGGGGTGTCTATTGTAATCAATAATGCGGAAGCTATATGAACTGTTGTAACAATGTCATTGTTACGGTTGTATTAATGCTTCGTGTTGCCATTGGAGTTGTGGCTGTGCATAATTGCTACTAATTTTCTGTGGGAAACTATTTAACAAGTTGATTACGTTTTAATGAGTTCCAAAGCAGCTGTTGCTCAGTGACTCGCTAGGCATCAGTCTGCTGGTGGGAGGTGGTGAGTGATTGCCTCCGCATCGCTTGTTGTTTGGGGATTTTGTTTTCTTTCACTTATTAAGCTGTCTTTATCTCAACCCATGGATTTTTCTTGCTTTTGCCCTTCTGATTCTGTCCTCCATCCCGCTGGTGGGGGAGTGAGCGAGTTACTATGTGGGGGGCTTAGTTGCTGGCCGGGGTCAACCTACCACACATTGGCATCTACTTCCTCATCTCTGTCAAGTCGAAGGGTAGCAGCATATATGGAACTTGGGTCTTGCCAAATAAAACAGTTTGTTATGTTTGTAAGGAGTAAACTACCTCATGCCTAAATGTGGGTCACGAGCATGCTTGTAAGAAATAGCCATGGAATATCTGAGTACAGTAAATATTGTTTCTAGTTTAAAAAATTAATTTTTCATGTCTCAAACAGTCACTTCCTGTAGGGACAATCTGGGTTTTGTTTTGCAGGTCTCTGTGCTAAATGCTTCTGCAAAACACACCCCAGAATCTTAAGCTTGGCAACAAGTAAGAGGGGATGAAGTAATCAAACGAGTCTCTGTTGCTGAAGTAAATTTGGTGTAGAATAGTTTGTTCCTCTCTTGATTTAGCTTTTTGTAAGAGAAGGTGACTACGCCTTAGAATTACTTGTTTCATACTAGTATTATAGCTGCTTATTGTGATGCCTGACGGAACATACACGCCAGACAATGTGTCCCTGACCTGTCATACTGCATGGTGCAAAAGTAAAATCATTGCCACAGTGGGCAGTCTAGACATGCCCTGAAAACTGGGATGGTTTTTCTTTCCCAACTTAAATGCTCTGTCTTCACTTGCACCTTCTCCCAGCGTATTCTCTTGACCAGCTCTGTGTCTCTTTTCTATCCCCTAGTTTTTGGTAAATTCTTCCCTTCTCTGTAATAGCTCCTGTCAATCTTTTCACCTTCCCTTGCCCATCCCATTTTTCCCATTGCTTGGTTTCTTAGCTTAGTCTTACAGGCCTTTCAGCCTGTTTCTATTCTTCTTTTCCTTCCTCAGTCATTACGAAGCCCAGTTTCTTTCCCAGCCTAACTTTATCCAAGCATTCTTTTTCCTTCTTTCTTCTTTTAATATTTTTTTTTCTTCCTTTCCCTTGAAAACCTTTTCTCCTTTATTCCCTCTTCTTATGTTGGGGTCCTCCTAATGTTCAGCTCAACTTGTCCTAGATGAAAGCAGTAGTTTATCTTTCTAACCTCTCTCATCAAATCCCAGTTACAGTTTCCTCCATAGATTTGGTCTCAGCCTTTTTAGTTAAATTCTTTTCCTGTCCCTCTCTTCCCCAGTGTGACTCTTTCTCTCCTACTTTTTCCTCCTGCCCTTGTTTATAAGCACCCTCGCTTTCTTCTGGTGTGTTGGGAGAAGGCACATGGGGAGTACAGGGGAAATGTTCACTCACATTCGTTATTGGCTACTTTCAAATACAGAATACTGAACCATATGGACCCTTGGTCTGGTCAATTGTGATTGTTCTTATGGCATGTTTTTTATGATGCAAATTTAAAAAAAAAAAAGAAATCTGAGACTGGCACTTTCGGAATTGAAGATTCCAGTCTAGCTGCTGGGGAGTGCTGTGAATGAAAGAAAGAAAAAAGATTTTTATGGAGTAATAGGTGCAAGGGCTTGAAACAAACTCTACCTGGGGAAAAAAAGTTAGTTTAAAGATTTAGTATTTTTCATGGATAAAATGTGGTTTATTTTGTCCAAGGAATTAACATAGGAAAGAACAAAAAGAATCTGAGTTAGCTTTATGTATGGTAAGACGATAGGGCAGCATGTGTACACAGTTTGCCATTGAGAGAGTAGCAAATGCACGTTTGAACAACTGCTATGACCTTACTGCACCTTTTTAGAATATGCATCACCATGGTATGTGATTACTATTAAATGGAATATGCAGTATGTGAAGACTGAACCCTCAAAAACAGTTGACAAAGGCATTGACGTTCATGTATTTTTACAAGTGAGACGTATTATATAGATAATGAAATACAACTAAGAAATCTTGATCACTTCTGAGGGTTGTAGGAAGCAGCGTTGGAGACAGACTGCAAAAGCTCAGGAAAACACATCTTTGCACAAGAAGACAGAATACAGAAAAGATCTGGCTTAATGCCTCATGATAATTGTGGATATGTTCTGCTTTTTAGTGTTTTGTTCTTAGTATCAGTTGAATTCAACGTTCTCATTTTAAAATGAATTTTCACATCTAAACACTTAACTTTACCTTGCTTCATTCTTCAAAGATTTCTGTAGGTGCCTACAGAGTATATTAGGGGGCAGTTTTTCAGATACTAAAGACAATAGAATTATAGCCAGACTGCCTTCTGAACGTGCCTTTTAAAAAATTGCAGATTTCCTCAAAAATGCAATCACAGGTGCATTTCTAGGCACTTATTCTCATTCCTGCAAAAAGACTTTTTACCTCCATGAGAGTTATTTTCTAAGACATAAGTAGACAAAACAAAACTTGTCAATAGTAGTAACATGATACTGGTTCTGGTGAAGAACAAACTCAAGTGGTGAGAATTGCTATCTTAATAAGCTCTTTTTAATTCCAGTTCATTACAATTGGTTGATATCTGCAATGAGGAAGCAACGTGTTTAGGAATGCATATATTTTAGGAACTGAATTTTCAATATGTTTCATGTCAGCTGTAATGTTACTTTTGCTATTAAAAGCTCTACTTACATTCATGGCCACCCTGTAAATAAAGCAATCTGAAGCCTTTTCAGTTGAACAAGATGAGAATAAGTTAAATTTTGTCTGTAACAGCATATTATGAAATTGTATGAAATCTTGAGCTCACCTTTTTTCCAGATACATGATCTGCTTTTTGAAATGCTAAGAAACCACACATTTGTAGAGACATAGACCTCTTGATCCGTCTTTTCCCTCATTGTTTAGAACATCTGTATTCTTTTTAGTGGTTTTTGTCAGAAATTATGTTGAAATTGAAGCTGCCATGCTTCAAAGTGAAATAGGTCATAAATAATTTGTTTTGTTGTAGTTGATGAAATAAGTCAGATGGTTTTAGTTCTTCAGCCCCTTCTCTTGAGGAATTGGATAAAATTCAGTGATAAGTATTTCCCTCTTTAGGAGACTTATCAGACACACAATTATAAGCCAATACAGTTGTCTAAGCAAAGTTGAAGGAACCAGTGAAAGTTTATATAAGAATACTTGGCATGAAGGAATTTTATTGCAAATACAGTCTCTTGTTCAGTTTTGTTCTGCCACCTCTCTAAATGCCTACACTATCAAAGGTAGTAGCCAAACTGAAGACACTTAAATCCTTCACATCACTAGTTTGTAGCCTTTTGTAACAGATTATTCAGTTTGAGCAAGAATGCGACCTACCTGCATAGTCTTAAATTAAATGATAATGGTGATTAGCTATTTACAGTTATGGTCTAAACTCAGAGCTAAGGGAAATTAGGCTTCTTCCAACAGTTAGAATTTTTTGGTTTTTTATAACTGTGTAAGGTAAAGTTGCCCCCATATATTTTCTGTATGCCTCAATTTTACAGTATAACTGAAAGACTGTTCCACCTGATTTTTTTTTTTTTCCTCTTATTGACTCTCTTCCCAAGTGGCAAAGTGTACTTCTGAAAAGATGGTTCATGTGAAGTCTACAAAGTTGGGTTTTGGGGTTTTTTTTTTTTTTTTGAAATGTAAATGAAATTCTATACCTCAACCTTAACCACTATGTAAAGAAATCTACTGTTGTATGCTATTAATATATAGAAAAATATGTTAAGCCATGATATTTTAAAAAGCCATCAATTGTTATCCTTCAGAAGTATCAACCTTAGTTATATTACAAGACTGTAATCATTTTTATTGCAAACTGAAAATGTTTTTTGTTTATGAAGTATTAAAAAAAAACAACTGAAATTAATTTTCCCAAGTTGCCCTAATTGCTAATTTTAGCTAAGTTTCATATAGTCAGTTGTGACATAGCTAGAATATTGAGGAGAGGCTAAGAACATTGACAAGCAGTGTTAGAGGTCTAAGTATTAATTTTTGTGAAGGAATCGGATGTCCAAAATGTAAAAGAAAAGGAGGGAAAAAATGAAAACATGAGGTAAAATTGTTAATCCATTCCACATACTTCTGTATTTTTCTACTACCAAATCAAAGCACTTTTTTAATCAGAAGTCTGCTTGCCAGTCTGTAATAGGTTACCTTAATGCATGAAAATAATATATTTTCTACATTTTTCAGTGATTGAACAGTATGTATTGGTTTATGCTGAGCATACATTTGCTGTTCATAAAGGGAAACCTCTGTAGTACTGGCATTAATATAATAAGTAGTTACACATTATATATTATTACTGCTCTTTCTGAGGTAGAATTTCAAGTCTTCCAAGGTCTAAGGAACATTGAAAGGGGTACAGTGATTTCATAAATTTAATCCTGACCTCTGGTGGCAATTATCATGAATCGCTGCTTTAATTCAGTGGTGGAAGTTGGTTTTCCTTGTTTCTCTGGAAGAAGATTCCTTTAATTTGTCTTAAACATATGTATTTACTGATGCGATATAAATGAGACCTTTATTTTTAGCCAGTAGACTACAAATTATATTTTACTTTAGATTAGTAAATACCATTTCTGTGAATTATTTTGAAAACAAAAGCAAGGAAGGAAAATCAGACAGAAAGTCCTTTGAGTGACTTCCATAACCTTCACTTTTTTCATCTCTCTTCTTCACCAAAACAGTTGCTCCTGGGTAGCTAATGTGTTGTAAAATTTAACTTTTTCTTACTTTGTGGTTATTTGTTTATGCAGTTATATCCATATCTCTTGTTATTCCTTGCTTCCATTATCTTAAAATGCTCTGCGGTTTGATTGTTTCTTTAAATGTTTTAATTGTTTGCTGGGGTATGTAACTAAGCACATAAGGTATTAAGGCATAAGCACATTTCAGCATTAAAGGTGAACTGCAAAGCTTTAAAAGAAGAAATTATAAGAGTCTACAGCAATAGTATTTATGGGCTTGCAGAAGATCTCTATACGGGTAAACCACTGGGGTCATGAGACAAAACACAGAAGTCCAGTAGGCCTTGTGTAGATATCTGTTAAACACTGAAGCTGGTACCCAGACTACAGCCTTCATATATTGCAGATGAGTGAAAAATTCATTTTCAGTTAAGATATTTTGAAGCTAACTGCCTGTCTGCTCTGACACAGCAGAATTTCTGTCATGGCAGAAGTTGCCAGGCTGCTTGCGAGGCTCCCGTCAGCACAGCACCCTGCTGCGGTGGGCTGGCTGCTTTTTCCATAGATTACAGTGCAGTTTGTTGTCTTGTCCTGTTTCAACTTGCACTTTACCAGACAACATAAGGCATTTGAAAGGAGAAGGTATCAGGTGAGAAACAGCATGGACTACCATGTTGTGGTTCACTTCTGTGATGTCTTAAGAGCTAGACTCCTGTGAAATGAGGCGGGATTTCCGAAGTTCCAGACAGTTGTTTTGAATGTGTATAGCAAAATCCATTTTATAAATAAAAGGTCTTTTGTAGAAATTTCAGCTGTTAAGGAGTCTGGAACATCTAATGAGATAAGTCTTTTATGTCTTTCCTAGTAGCTCTTGTTACAAAGCATCTAAGAGTCTTTGATTGTTGCACACAGAAATGATTCACATGAGGAGAAGCGTGTCCGCTGTGGTAGATTACAGGACTCATACACAACATCTTTATCAATTAAGCCTAAATAAAATGTGAGTTTAAAAAAGGAAAAGTAGTATTTCATAATAGAGTTTTTATCAAACTACTAGTGTTATTAATCTGGGACATGCGCCAAAATCCGAATAAAGACACTGGTGCCAGGCGCTCTGTAGACACTTGTATGTCTGAATGTAGAGTGAACATCTGGCAATACACAAACGATGTGCAGTGCCTCTGTGAGTTGCCTGGACTGCTGTTTGCTGCAGTTTTTCTTTATTCTTTCTAAAATAAGGTAGTAATCTCTCCGTGGTGTCTTCCTTTTTACTGAGGAAGTCAGGAATTGAAAGGGCACTGTGTCAGCTCTGCAGATTCTTGTCTACCGCAGGTATATTCATTCTCTTCATACAAACTCAATGACTATATTGATCCCATTTATAACAGTGTACTTCCATGTTGGGTAACTTATTGATTTCCTCAGGCTGATAGTCCTTTGTAAATAAGCTCTGATCTAGACTATGACAGATGTCTGAGCAGTATAGATTCTTATTTTTGATGTAAACATAGTTTTTGGGTCTGAAATGCTATGATGCCTTTCTGTCTCTAGTACCATTATTTTTGTTACAGGCTCTGATGTAATAAACAGCTCTGAGGGGAAATACAGCTGTTTTTGCTTTCTCATTTTAAAACATTGGTCTGCTGTTTTAAAAGCATGCCTGTCTGTTACGGTTACCCACAAGTACACAGCATATTCTTTTCATTTGGATTTTTTTTTTTTTAATAACCTATAACTGCTAGTTTGGCTTGTGCTTGCCTTTTGGAGATTCGTCATTATTGGTTTGCGCAGTCTGTAGAACCAAAATTCTCGTAGAAGCTGAAAGGGGTTGCAGTGTTAGGTGAGTGAAAGAGGATTTTTTTCCAAATGTCTTATGTTAAATATATAATTTCTGCTCTTTTTCAATCTTAAGAAATTCCTTCAAATTGAGGACTATGATACTGCCTTTCATGCACTATTGAGAGATTGGTGACTTTCAGAAATAGTAAATCTTGGGGTGTATAAATATCTTTTAGAAGGTATAACTATGTTTAGTAATATATAGAAATATTAAACATATAATTTAAAATGCAATAGTACTGCATTTGAATTATTTAAAGTATAAATCTTTGCATTGGCCTTTAAATCTGGATTCCTTTGTTTTCTCTAGGTGCTTAAATTCATAATATGGTTTTTGCTTTCAGACAGGAGGATTTATTTTTGCAGTTTTGGGTGGTTTACCTATGCTTACTTTGATACAATTTACTGTATGTAAAGCTATTTTGTATTTTAAATGAAATAAATTTTTGTGGCACAAAAATTCCCGTGGGTCTGCAGGAATCATCACATAAGATTCAAATGAATGGAAAATAGAAATCAAGCTTTATTTCAAATAATAATGTATTTAGAATTGTCTTTATACAGGTAAATGGTTGCAGTTTTGTGACAAGAACAGCTATACCTGCAGACTTAATCAGGGTATGGTATTGCAAATTGAATCATGATACTAATGGTGAATAATAAAAACCTCAACAATTTGTTTTGGACAAAAACTATGTTGCTGACTAATACTTTATTTTGCATGCTGTGCTCTGCATCTGCATTGTTTGTTATATATTAATACAGTGTATCATTAAACTTGAAATGCAAAGCAATTTACTACTTCTGTTAAGGCTAAGATTATAAAGCAGTACTTGTAGAAACGCTTTATGTCAGTGCTTTTGAGGTGTGAATTATACTAACAAAGGGGGTTACCATGGCAATAAGATCTTCAGTGCTGTATTGTATGTTAATGTACTAAGGTGGCATTTGATACAGAATTTGATATTTGAGTTTACTTACTGTGATAAAGCATAAAAAAATGGCTTGTTAAGGAACTTGGATTGATTTAGGAAGAAGAATTTGGAGTTGGAGAGATTTGTTCTGAGCATGGAATGCAGCACTCTCACACGCAGCTAGAGGTGATGGAGAATGAATTGGCTGGGAAACAGCAAGAGATCGAAGAGCTAAACAGAGAGCTAGAAGAAATGAGGGCAGCATATGGTACAGAAGGATTGCAACAGGTATAATTACCTTATGTTGCTTTCTACTTGCTACTCGGTTACATGCAAAAATGCAGAGCATCACCTGAAAGGGTTCACACTTAATGGCAGCTCTTCAGAATGCAGTCAGTGTGTGGTACAGAATTACACGTAATTTCTTTCAATCACATACCATGCCCTATATTTCTTTGAATGGCATTTCCATTGTGTGTCCTTTTTCTCTGTATTTTATGACTAAAATTCCAGTCTTCTTCACAGTGACTTTCTTCAAATCAGGAGTGGAAAGATGATTTTCTTCAAGAAAAGCCCTGATTCTTCTCTAGTTGTGCAAAGACTGCATTTCTTTAATAGCTTCCTGTACCTCCAAGATCAAAAAGCTCAGGTTTTACTTCCTAAGGGATGATATAACTGAGTCGATCCTTGAACCAAAGAGGTATTTGTATGTCAGACTTCACAGTCTGAAATACAAGGCAACTGTGACAGAATGTTTTAATAAACATCTAATAGCTTGGGATTACAGGGAAGTGTTTCTTCAGAAATACCATTCAAATTTAAAGTTAGGTTTTAAAGAATATTAAATACTTACTCTTCCAGTTTAAGTTGTGCAATGCACTGAAGTGAGTGCTTTGTCGTGCTTCATGTCTTACTTATCTCTCTCTTTTAAGTTGGATTCAGGTCACACCTTTGTGTTTTTCTATTTTTTGTAAAGTACTATAGAATACAAAAATTGTCCTAATACTCAGTCATTTTCACCTTCATTATTATTGCAAAATTTTTTTTTTTCTGCTTTCATTTGTAAATGGATGTCATGTTTTCCACCATATGAGAGTGATCTTTAAGTGGTTGCCCTGGAGGAGGTGTTTTATCATTCCTTTGTCTGTTGGTGAATCTCTGGTGTTGCATTTTAAGTCAAACTTAGCTTCTAATTACTGTGTCTTGTATTTGTTGTGCTAAACATAATAGTCATAGCATAATAAAGAACATAAGCATAATTTTAGTTTCTCACAATTGTGACTCCTGTTAGTTTTTCCTGAAAAAGGTGAAAGTTAAAATGTTTGCATTTTTTAAATGGCTATGACTACTATTTTGAAAATGCATTAAAAATACACTAAAGCAGGCTGTGGTACAATAATATTTTAATAGTTGCAGCATATTTTTGTATGATAGTGGTACAGTGCATAGTATCTCAGTTGAGAAATGCATATGGTTTATTTTTCAGAAGAAACAAAAGAATTGTAAAAGGAGAGTGCAGAAGATATGTTGCATGCTTTTAGTTCAGCCTGTTAAAGATTGAATAAAAGAAGTTGAAAATTATCATATAACAATGTGTGGATTGGAACAGATACATTTAGTTACTCAATTTCATTGAACAGATGCAAAAAGAAAGAGATGATGCATTTAAGTGTCTGATCTGTTCCTAATTTTCTCTATTATAACAAACATGTAGTATTTCCACTACATCCATGCTTTTAAAGTAGGAGTTCACTGAAGTGTTCTAAAAAGAACTTTGAAAGGATTTCCTCAAATTCTTTGCATAGTTTGGCTTGTTTAAGGGACTCCTGGTTTTTATGTCCCACTGAATAATGTTCCTATCCTTTAAATCAGTAAGCTTTATCTGGAAGCATTATAATTTTACTTCAAGACTCAGCATATAACGTGGAAAAGCTTCTTTTGGGGAGCACTGTAAACAAAACAGTTACAGAAGGTGACCGACGGTTTAGGAAATTTGCAATACATAGAGATGAAGCTTCCACTAACCTTGAATGAGTTCAAACTGACAAAGTGGCTTTAAAATGAGTAACATATCTATTTATATAATTACACATGAAAATAGTCCCAATTAATACTGTAGAATTTCTGGCTGCCTGAGTGTAATCCTACCAAAAAAAAAAAAAAAATTGCAAAGAATTTTTTTTCTGTACTTTTATCATTTCTTCATTATTACAAATTACAAAAGATTCATCTATTAAATACACTATATCAGTTCTGCAGCATGAGCTGATTTTCTCATGTAGTTATGAATAATTTCTCTGCGTTCACAATGTAGGATACTGCATGGTATCTATTATATGCTTTTAGTACAATGAATGCAATTTATTGCGCTTTCAATGAGAGATGATATAACTTGCATTTATTGTGGGAAAAGTGTGTGGACATGAGTAGTTATACAAAATTGCTGAAACACTGTAAGTAGATACTCTGGCTTCCTTTATGACGGTTTCTTTATGTGGCCATGCTTTATTGTTTAAAAACAATTTATATATTTAACTAATTAACCTTCTTAAAGGTTCAGATTTTGTTCTTTGATAAATGTGTTTTATGGAGAGGTCATATATTGTTGAATGAGGGAAAAAAATCTGTTTGTGAAGTATTTACAAATAGAGTTTATGAAAACAAATGCGTGGTGGTCTGTGTGACACATGGAGAGGTTAGGGATGAAGTATTCCTACTTAACTAGAATAAACTAGTATTTTTTTTGTCTGTGACTTTGATGTGCACTAATAGTTTAAATTTTATCTTTTGTAGCTGCAAGAATTTGAAGCTGCTATCAAAAAAAGAGATGACATTATCACTCAGCTCACTACTAACCTACAGCAGGCACGGAAAGAAAAGGATGAAACTATGAGGGAGTTCTTAGAGCTTACTGAACAAAGTCAAAAACTGCAAATTCAGTTTCAGCATGTAAGTGACAGTGCTATCAATATTTATTTGGGTTTGAAAATTGGTGTCACTTCGGAGGGTCCATAAATGACTACTTCCTGCAGAAGCACAGAATGTTTTTGCATTTTTGAAGAATTGGTCTCTTAGTATAGATCAGCAATCACTTTACCGGTCCTACAGTTATCGTTATAGTACCTGGTTTATTGTACTAAATCACTATAAAATAATAAAGATTAGTCTGTTTCCTAGTATGTGGTGATAGCTTCTGATAAATACTGGATGATGGCAGTTATCTTAGGGAAAAACACTTGTGTAATTAGTTCTCAGAGCTTTGGGCTGAAATCCAGTCTGTTCCTTTTGAAATCAAAACAGCCATCCATCTACTTCAGTGTCCTTCCTATATTTTTGGGTAAAACCTGTCTCTTGTGGTGTTACAAGAAGGTAATTTAAATAACGAAGTTAAGTTTCAGAGAAATATTTGTTCTAAAAAGCACTGGTGATTGAGGTGCCATGGACACTCTGTTAATCTGTGTGCCTACAGTTTACAGAGTTGCAGTTGAATATTGTAGTGTCTTGTGCTGTTTAAGTATTTTATATAGCTTTCTTGAGCTTCAGGTGGATTATATTCTGAAGCCAAGTTTTTAATAATAAAAACCTGATTTTGGGGACAGTATCTACAAACTAGTTCATTTTACTAGTTAGAAACGTTTCTGAGACACTGCTGTCCTGTGCTAGCTCACCATAAAACAATAATATTAAATATTTTTTTATTGGTTAGCCATCCCGAAAGAATAAGGATATTTCAGTTCCTCCTAAAAGAACTTAACAAAATTTTGCAGTAGTCTTTGGGCTTGTGATGTGTAAGAAGAAAGTAAAGATCACTCTTTCTATAGTGCAAGGTGTTTCTGAAAAACTTGATATATTTTAGGTTTTATTTTTTTGACACTCAAGTTGCAGGCAAGTGAAGCCTTAAGGAACACCAGCCATAGCTGCACAGCTGCTGATTTATTGCAAGCGAAGCAACAGATACTTTCACATCAGCAACAGCTAGAAGAACAAGAATGTCTGCTGAAGAATTATCAAAAAAAGAATGAAGAATTTGAAGTGCAGATTACATGTCTTCAAGACAAAATCACAACATATGAAATGGTATGTTCCTTACTAGAAAGACCTCTTTTCCTAATCTCTTTTTTCTTTTCAGGATTTTGTAGTTCCTTTGAAATTTAAGGGTCAAAGCACAAATTGTGAGTGTGCTGCTTGTAATGCATGCAAAGATTTTAAGTTTTTAAGACCGCTTCTGTTAACTAACACATAATATGTGTATAATTTAAAACTGAAATTTTTATGTCACTATTATGTATCATGTTTTAAAAAATTGCAGAAATATTTACAGCAAATGATGAAACTATACTGTATATTAGAATGCCTTCATTAAATGACATTATTTTGTTAGGGAAAAAAATTTAAAATAACATGCTTGAACAATCTTTTCTGTCTTAAGGAAACAATGAATTCTTTTCTTCATGTACCTTTTTTAAACTATCCTTCATGGAAAACATCTTAAAAGTACCTAAAAATTTAAATGTCATTAAAACTGACAAGAGACAAAGGTTCAGTAGATTGCATCAAATACTTTCTTTGAAGTATCAGACCACAACTGGAAAAAACAGAAGTGATT